CCTGCAAGTTGTTATCTCATATTGTAATACAATTACCAGGAAAGGAAAATTTATTAATTGAACAAAACATTCGGTAATTGATTGCAGTGTATTTAGGCTATACCTGCCTATATTTGGATTATATGACCAAGGATTCAAATAGCAGTCGGATAGCGGTGTCGCGGCTGCTATTTCGCGATCGCGCCACTATCCGTCACCGTTATTGGAGAAAACACGAGAGAAAATTTGAATCTCGTCTACAGCAGATGAATCGCGGCCGTAAATTGCGATATAACGGTGAATAGTGGCAATAGCGGTCCGCTATTGCCCGCTATTATCGTTATTCCTATTTTCATTCAAAAATTCAAAAAAAAAAATCATTTGATTTTCTTTAAAAACTTAAAATAAAAACAACAAGAACGAAAATAAACATCAATTTACAAATTCAAAAAAAAAAAACCCACAAAACTTAAACTTTCAAAAAAATCAATTCTCTCAAGTTCAACTTCAATCAAAATCAAGTATATGCAATTTAAAGTAAACAATTAATTCAACACTCAAATTATCTTTTTTTTTTTAATTTTCAAATTTACCATGATTTTGTGTATTTGGAATTAGATTGGGCTATATTACATTGATAGAAGGAGGCAAGAGTTGCTGAGACTTAAAATAAGAGACAAGAGATGAGAGTGAAACTTGAGATTTACAGAAGCAAGCAGATAGCACACACCAAATAAAAAGAGAACTGAGAGATGGGGATGAGAATAAAGGTTTGGAGAAAAAAAATTATTGAATGCAAAGTGAAGGGATGAAAAGTTGTGTGGGTATGTGCAATTTAGTCAAGAGACAGGGAAGTAGACTTGAGGTTATTATTGTTAAAAATCGCCCATAACATGGAGGCTATCAAGTTTGATTTATTGTAAGTTCATAAAAAGCAATTCTTTTGACTCATAAATAATAATGCTCTTACTTAATTTATAAATACCTAATCATTTATTATTTGATTTATGCTTAATATAGTTTCGTAATAATTTGATGAGTACAACAATTAGATAATTAAATATATTATTCGTTATGATTATTTATTTTTCACATATTTATTTATCTCTTTTTATTTTTTAATTGTCATATAAATAATTTTTTAAATATGAATATTTTATTATAAATATTTTTTCTTAAATAAATAAAACACATGATATGATATAAATTACTTTAAAAATTATAAAATAAGAGGTTTTATGATTAATAATTAAAATTATTATATTTTATAGCAAGTTGAGCAAAATTTAAAGAAATTCACGACTGTAATAACGGCAATGACCGCAAAGGTCTCCGTTATATCCGCAACCGTGACAAACGCGATGCGATCGAAAACATGACCGTTACCGCAATTTAAATCCCTGATCATATCCAATGACATAATATGTAGGTAAAACAAATACAGTTACTTCTATAACTGCAATAGGAATCCTAAGGAACCATGAGAGAACGGCATAAGCCCATGGGAGGATAAAAGAGGAGCCCTTTGCTTATAGAAAACTGGAAGTTTTGCAATGACCATGCTCATTTCCGAGAGTCCATTAAACAGCATCTGATAAAGCATATAACATAGGGAACCCATAAACCTCCCTCCATCTCTCATTGAGTCCCGGTGCATCTCAGTTCGTAGGAAGACTGTCATTGCAACAAATGCTGTTACCGCGAGCTGAAATGTTGAAAAGAAATGGCTGATTACAAAATTGTATCTAAAATTTAAAATAGTACTTGCATTCGTTATAAACATAAAATGATCTAAATATTCACCTGCATGAGCTTGAATTTGACGACAAAGGAATTTCTTTTCATCAGCAAGAGTTCTCTTGATATGCAAGCTCTCAAAAGCTCCTTGTTTCGAGCACCATACCTCTTGCTTGTCAGAGCTGCTGGGTGACTCTTGCTCTTATCAAACGGGATATGAAGCTCTGCTCTGAGTTTCAAGTCAACATGAAATGACACGAATGCCTCTGCAAATTCTTTGGCCGTAACAAAATTGTAAGGCTCATATTTATGAGCCCAGTACTGCCCCTGATCCTTCCTTGATGTCACCTGTGAGAAAAGAGTCTTGTTCAAGCCTCATATATTTAATTTCAGCCAAAAGATTAAGAAAGGCATTAACAATTATAACATCTAATATAATAATATACTCTTACTTCTTGCAGGAAATCAGCCACTTCTTTCCTCTCAGGACATTTAAAGCCCATGGATCCAAAAAATTCAAGCACATACTCACGAGGTCCTTGATACACAATCTGTCCATCAGAGAGGAGAATAATGTCATCAAAGAGACCATAAGTCTCTGGCGAGGGCTGTAGAAGAGAGATTACAGCCAAGGATTTAAATAACGGTCGTGATCACGTTTTCGGTCGCGTAACATTTGTCGCGTTTTCGGATATAACGGAGATAATTGCGGTCACTGCGGTCATCACGGTCGTGATTTTTTTTTGCACAATTTATTATAAAATGTAATAATTATAATTATAATTATAAAAACTCTTATTCAATGATTTTAAAAATAGTTTATCACACTCTATGTTTTTTATTTTCTAAAAAAATTATTCACAATTTTATTTAGATTATAAAAAGCATTCATATTTGGTTTATCCATAAAATTTTTCTTGGCCAAGTTCATATTCAATATTAATTCTAGACAAATCAAATATTAACAAAACATAATATGTTAAATACCAAGCATTTAATTTAATAAAATTACAAACTTAAAAATATAATAATTTCAAATTCCATCAACTACAATTATTGATATATATTTCAAATTTTACCACATGGTAGAATGACGAAGGGGATCAGATTCTCTATCTTCACTTTGAGAGCCAAGTTGACTCCATCTCCATCCCTAAGGCCTTTGTTCTTGATACATTTGAGGTGGAGGATATATTTGAGGATGATACATTTGTGGTGGAGGGTACATTTGTGGTAACTTATACATTTGAGGTGGAGGATATATTTGAGGAGGTGGAGGATACATTTGAGGTGGATAATAACCATATGGAGGTGGATAACCATGAGGAGGTCGAAAATTAAGTTGTTCTGTTGGATAGTAATATCTTTGAGTACTAGCAGATGATTCACTATACTCAAAGTTACTAGAATTTGGTCTCCCACCTGAAGATGAAGAACCTTTAGAAATATCATAGTGGTGCTTCTTCGCTTTTCCTTTTGATCGAGCTGTACGTACACTTTGACCCTTACTAGATTCAGCAAATGGATTTCCTCTATATTCTGTCATATTAATGAAAAGTCCACCAGTAGCAGCAAGCCCAAATTCTCCTCCAAGTGGGCTATAAGGTTGATTTGCATCCATATTATCACCAAAATTCACACCATCTCCATCACCATCATCATCTGGACTTAAACCACCACCATCATCACTCTGACTTGGTGTTGGACTTGAACTTGAATGAGACACATTCCTTTCTTGAGATTGACGTGATCGTTCAACATTCATTTCATTATCAAAATTATCTGAAGGCAACCAATCAGAGTTTTGACCATCTAATAGAGGATTTTCTTTTTCTTGCAGCCATTCTGTTAGTAGATCATCATATTTAAAAATATGATCAAGGTTAATAAGATTAAAACTATTATTTATTTCATCATTGCTCATTCTTTTTTTATGTCTCATCCCCAATCTCATGTTATAATAGGTATATACAAGTTTCTGGAGTCTTTCAAACTTCAATCTGTTTCTTGCTTTGGTGTGAATATAGCTAAATATGCTCCAATTACGTTCACAATTTGATGCAGATGTTATTTGACTAAGCACTTTGATTGCTAGTTTTTGTAATTCAGGAACACAAGTGCCATATATCATCCACCACTCAACTGTATAAAATTATTTAAATTAAATTTCAATAGGCTATACAATTAAATAATATAAATAAATTATAATTATTTAACTTACTATTTACATGGATTCATTTGCTTCCAAGCTCTTTGTGCTTGTGGATTACCAAATGTTTCATGCTTGTCTCAAAATAATAACAACTACATCAATTGAAAATACAATAATAAATGAATAAATAAAAAATAATTTAATTTTTAATACATAAAATAAATGTTAAAGTTATAAAATAGTATTAAATACTAACCTGATTAATCATTCTGATTTGAGTATCTATCGAAGGTTTTCATCTTTCAATAACTACTTTTATACCTTCTAATGTTTCTTTAAATACATTTACAGAATGTTCCACTCCAAATTGAAATTGTGAATTTAGATAGTAACCTAAACATAATTTATAACAATATTATATTAAAGTAATAAAAAATAAATATATAAACAATTTAAGTATAAAAAATAAACATATTTTTTAAATACCATCTATATTCTTGGTTTACTTACCAGTTGAATGCAAGTCAGAGTGCATGAAACTCCATCTATTGTCAATAATCTTTTCATATTCGGCAGAATAATGACAAGTTTGCTAAATTGCTTATTTAGCTCTATCCACAGCCTCGTAAATAAAGCCCATTGTTGGTTTTTCATCACCATCCACAAGGCGCAACACTTTTACCAAAGGCTCATAAACTTTTATTCTATCACTTGATTTTTTCCAAAAATCTTTTCCCAAAATGATTTTTTTGGCTTCACAAGTAGGTCTTGATTTTTGTTGTCCTCATTTTGAATATTTAAATTCCTATATATTCATCAATAAATTTTTAGAATAATATATTTTAAATTAATATTTTAAAACAATGACATCATAAAAAGATGCTAGATTTAAATAGTTGTACTAATTACTAAGTATTAACCTTTGAATTGAACATCTCTCTCAAACTTTGCTTTTACCTCATTATTTCTTCTAATTATATAAAATGAGTGGCAAATCGGGTAAGAGCAGGATGAAGTATTTGCTTCCCTTGTGTATATTTCTTCATCAAATTAACAGTCCAAATGTGATTGTATATAAAACAAGTCACTTTCTTTGCATCATCCAAAACCTTTGCCACACTTTTTTTTCTTTTCAATATCTTTAAGGCACAGGTCCAAACAATGAGTTAAAAATGCTATCCAATACAAATGTTTTCTCTTCTCCATTAGTCTTTTTTCTACGACCTTAAGTGCTGCCTCATTATCAATGACTATTTGAACAATGCATTTTTCTCTAATTTCTTCCACAACTTCATCTAATAATCTGTAGTAAAAGTTTGCATCTCTACTACGAATACTTAAGACATCTACAGATTTCTAAAAAATGGTCCTTTTACTACAGTAAATAAAGAAATTAATGATATGCATTTGATTCAAACTATTGGTCCAACCATCACACATCAAAGTGACACCCAATTCATTCCAATAAGCTTTTAATCCATTAACCCATTCATGAACTTGTTGATACTCAGACTTTAAATACACATCTAAGATCTCATAAGGTGTTGGAAGTCTTACATGTTGGCCAACTTTTGCTGAATCAAATTATGCAACCATGGAGAATTTGTTAATTGAAAAGGAAATCGATCATATATAAAAAATTTTGATACTGATTCACCCATTTTTCTTCTTAATATCTTTAGAAATGAATCACTTACTTTTGGTTGTCTTGAACTTTTACTTCTAACCAATTCAAGAATAACTCTCTTTAATAAAATTCAGACTCATTTGGAGTTGATTTTCTTGTTCTTTCTTCAAAATATTCAGCAACTGAACCATGAGAGCTTCATCCTTCTTCATTATGTTACTCCAACCACTAGTTCTTTGTCTGAATTCTTGTCTTCTGTGCCACTCATGTTGTGATTGGATACTATCTCGCACGACTTGTCTAGTAGCGATGTCTTCATCAATAAATCTTCATAATCATCTTCCCCTCTTAACTGTGATAAAAATTCATTTTTTCTTTTTTGTTGTCAACTTTTTTTTATTTCTTTCTTGAAGGAGTTTCATCATACTTTCTCTCACTATACCTATTAATAATATAGTTAAAAAAAAAAAAAGAAAAAATTAGTTGCACATGCTTATGTAATTTTATAATTTTTATTAAGAAATTAACAATAATATTTTCAAAGGAATTAAAAAAACATAACATACCAGTAACTTTAGGGCATGGTGCAACATTGCCAGTTTTATAAGCAATGTGTTCTTTGAAACGTGTTATTTCTCCTTTTACAACTTTATCACAAAGTTTACATAAAATATTTTCTCTCGTATTTGGCACAGGTGTTCCAAAATGCCAACCTATATCATCACTTGGTACGCCCTCTACTCCTTTACTCGGGAACTCTTCATGTCGTGGCATACTTACTATTTTGTATAAAAATAAAATAAACTTATATTTAGAAATATTAATATTACTTATTACATCATTAAAAATTGATTTTACGCTAAATTTTTTAATTTTTAGTTTTTAATCTTAAGAATATTATTAAATAACTTAATCTTTTTGATACACTAATTGATATTAATTTTTTTATCACAAATAACTTCAAATAATTATATAATAAATACAATCTTCAACAATTACACAAAAATAATAAGAATTAATCTAATATCAAAAGAACTGACAACAATATAAATATCAAAACAACAAAAAAAATTATTAAATTTCATATACAAAATTATAAATTAATATCTAACACAATCAAAATATAATATTTAATTTTAATTAATTTTCGTCTAACTTATATAAAAAATTTATCAATAATTTTCATCTACAATCTCTATGTATATCATATTAAATTATTAATCTCTTAATTTTTTTAATTATAAATCTTCAATCCCTCTAATTAGATTTTATCTAAAAAGATTTCAAAAATGAAAAGTTTTCAAACTTATATTTTAATAAAATTTTCAAACCTATATTTTTTATTTTTTTAGTTTTTAATCTTAATAAGAGTAATAGATCATAAAATGTTAAATTTATTAAGTAACTTAATTTTTTTGATACACTAATTGATAGAAATTTTTTGTATCACAAATAACTTTTAATAATTATATAATAAACACAATCTTCAATAATTACATAAAAATAACAAGAATTAATCTAATATTAAAAGAATTGACAGTAATATAAATATCAAAACAACAAAAAAATATTAAAATTCAAATACAAAATTATAAATTAATATATAACACAATCAAAATATAATATTTAATTTTAATTATTTTTCATCCAACTTATACAAAAAAATTTATCAAAATTTTTCATTTAAAATCTCTATATATTATATTAAATTATTAATCTCTTTTTTTTAATTATAAATTTTCAAAACCACTAATTAAATTTTATCTAAAAAAATTTTTAAAAATTAATTACAAAATTAAATAAAAAAATTCAATCCCACCCTTCAAACACCCTACCACAGCCAATCCCTTCCCACCCCAATCCAATCCCTCTCCACCTTCCTCCCAACATCCCACCACACCCAATCCCTCCCCACCTTCCCCCCAACGCCCCACCACACCCAATCCCTCCCCACCCCATCCAATATCTCCTCATGTGCCTAATATCCCAAATTTGTTTAATTCTTTTTAGCAAACGGTAAACCCTTTTAGAAACGCTAATACTTTCTTCTGTTCCTCTTCTTCTTCGTGCTGCCTTCATTGGCTTTCTAGAATTTTCTTCTTATCTCTTTTTTTTTTCATCTCTCATTTTCTCTCGCATCCCTTTATCACTATCACTTGCTGACTTGCCTAGTATTTATGGATACCTTGTTCGTCTTTCAAACTCTCACAACAGATCATTTTACAAAAATTTTATAAAAAAAAAGGTAATTTAACTTTCTTTTCTTACCTTATTTGATCTTGAATGTTGATTGAAAACTTAAGGCTGATTTGAATTTGAATGCCGAAAATGCCAATTGAATGGTTGAAACTTGAAATAATTGATCTGTTTTCTAGCTCATTTTTAAATTTATTTTGATGATAAAGATATAAAATTATGAGCTTTATTTTTTGCTTTAGCTTTTACTTTTACTTTTGCAAGTTTATTATTTTATTCTGCAGACTTAAAATTTTATTTTTTTCTTGAACTATTAAATCCGTGAGTAAAAAAATGGAATAGCGACAATAACGGTCCGTTATTGCCACTATTGCCCGTTACGCCATTATTTTACAATCGTTACTCTCTGTTTTTGCTGTGAATAAATTTTTTAATCGTTTTTAATCTAATAACGGTGACGGATGGTGGTGCTACCGTAATTTTACTGTTGCTATTCCGCTATTAAACCTTAAGGTTGACATTATCGCTGAAACCACCCAAAACTCTAGTTGACATCCTGCTAATAACAAAAAAATATATAAACGTTGAAGTTACAATGAAAACAAACTGAGGTGAAAGAGGCTCGTATCCCCTCCTCAATCATAAAAAAGATAAGATATTCTACAATTCTCCCCCAAGAAACAAACAACATAAGGCCAGAAGCCCCAGTAGAGAAAAAAGCTACACTGTACTGAATACCTCATGTGAGACGATTCTGATGCAAATAAAAAAAATCCTGACTTAAATGGCCTAAGCCATTAAAACATAACATAAAAGCGGTATCCGAAAAAAAAAGCACCTTTCACCGGAACATCAGTCATACTATGAAAGACTTTGTCAACCTGAAAAATGAGATAGAGGCTCTAATAAGACAAGGTCAACTGAAAAGATTTATGAGACAGAGAAAACAAGATCAATTTAAAAAAGACTATAGAAATGACCATAGAGCACCTACCCGAGGCAAAATGGAAAGATCATATCAGAGAAGAACGGATGTCCGGGGAAAAAATTGAATTAGAAAGAGTCAAACTGATAATAATAGGTCAATCGTCAAGCTGATTAATGTGATTATAGGAGGCAATTTCACCTCAACGAAAAGGAAGTTTAATTTGGGTATAGTGATGCCAATAAGTACCTCGATTAAGAAAGAAAAAGATTGGAGAGATAAGTCAATCTCATTCAATTCAAAAGATTTAGAAGAGTTCCAACGCCCACATGATGATGCTATAGTGATCACAGCCCTGGTATATAACTATGTGGTCTAAAAGAATCCTATTTGATAATGGAAGCTCGATCGATGTTATGTTCTATGGCTGTTTCAAAAAAATAAAGATTGCAAAGATCAGTTGAAGTCTATCACCATAACATTAATGGGGTTTGGAAATGAATAAGTGTAGTAAGAAGAACCATCAAGCTTCCAATCTCTCTAGGGATAGAGCCAAAGATAATTACCCAAGTCGTAGAGTTATGTCCCATCTGCCTATAACATGATATTAGGCCAACCTAGCCAATCTATTATGCAGTTCATAGGCCCAGCTGCCCATTTGAAAGTGAAATTTTCAACACATGCAAGGGTTAGAGAAGTTTGAGGAGACTAATCCATGGTACGATAATATTATGTCACAATGATCAAAGGTAAAATTGAAAAATAGGCAAACAACTCAACCAATACCGAGGTGGAAAGTAAAAAAAAATTGATATAAAGAACTAGTAAAGAATAAGGAACCATTAACAAAAATACAAACCGTAAGGCCAATCTAAAAGAAGCAATGCTCTGAGCTTCTAAGCTCTGCACAAGTTCAATTTTGTTCTATTTTTTAAATTTTTTGAGACAACAATAGAAACAACAAGCTCTTAAGCAGATGTAAATATTTGATGTTACTTGAACCAAACTAACACACTAGCCAAAATATAGCATTAAATGAAGAGCACATTTCACATATACTAATACGATTCAACAAGTTGTTCAATATACTAATCATCATGTTAGAACCTGTTTTTGTAAGAAATGATCCCAACCTAATGGAACAAAAAAAGATAATCAATCAAAAATCAACCTTGGATGCAAACCAACCTAAGCCGGTTAAGGACCTCATAACAATTTTGTTCTGAAATAATGTCCTTAAAAAATACATGCAGATCGAAGTCAAGCTCCAACATAAAGATCAATTGATTTAACTTATAAAAGATAATGTTGACCTATTTGTTTAGACACCATTCGATATGCCCAAAATTGATATCGAGGTAATGGTCCATAGACTACATATTAATCTTGAGGTCAAACCAATTTGACAAAAAAAAAAACTTTTGTCACTGAAGACAACAGGCCATCGAAGAAGAAGTTAACAAATTGTTATAAGCTAATTTTATCGAGGAAGTCCATTACCTTGAATGGATAACTAATGTGGTCATGATTAAAAAGCACAGCGAAAAATAAAAAATGTGCATAGACTTTACCGACCTGAATAAAACTTATCCAAAAAATAGTTTTTCTCTCCCTAGCATAAATCAACTGGTAAACTATAATGCCAAGCATGGTCTTTTTAGTTTTATGGATATTTATTTCAGCTATAATTAGATCAAAATATTAAAAGAATATGAGGATAAAATAGCCTTTATTACCAAAAAAGGTCTCTACTACTATAAAATAATGCCTTTCGAGCTAAAGAATCTAGGAACGACCTACTAGAGATTGATGAACAAGATATTCAAAAACTAGATCAGTCATAATATAGAGGTATATGTAGATGATATAATAGTTAAGAGAAATAGTCTAATCAAGTATCTAAAAGACTTTAGAAAAACCTTTAACACTTTGAAAAAATACAATATGAGACTTAACTCAAGTAAACATGCTTTTGGGGTTACATTAAGCAAGTTTCTCAGCTATATGATCAACTAAAAGGGGATAGAGATAAATCTTGAGAAAGTTCAGGCAATCCTAGAAATGAAAGCATCGACCTCGATAAAAGAAGTGTAGAGGTTAATAGGCAGAATAGTCATACTTAGTCGATTCATGTCTAGATCGATAGAATGATATTTATTGTTCTTCAAAACTCTCAAAAATGTCTCTAACTTCATATAGACTCTTTAATGTCAAAAAAATTTTAATGAACTCAATGAGTTCTTGTCTTCTTCACTTGTCCTATCTAAACTAAAAATTGGTGAAACTCTATACTTATACTTGGCCAGCATAAATCAGGCTGTCAACTTTAGCTTAGTTTGAGAAGAAAAAAGGAAACAATGACCAATCTATTTTGCAAGCAAAGTTTTAACATGACCTAACGCTAACTATAGCAGTATAGAGAAATTAGCTTATGCTAGGGTCACCTCAGCTAAAAAACTTAGGTCTTACTTCCAAGCCTACATGGTCTACATCTTGATCGATCAACCATCGAGGCAAGTCTTACAGAAGCCTGAGACATCAGAAAGGCTAATCAAATGGGCAATAAAGTTTAATGAATTTGATCTACAATTTTTATCCAGATTGGCATTAAAATCACATGTGCTAGCAGACTTCGTAGTCGAACACATCTTGG